TCAGAAAATCTTCCCAGAAGAAAACAAGAGCAAACATCTTCCACAATGCTGCCAAGAAAACTCTTATGACTGGATTTATTACGGGTCTTTTACTTTTTATTAATGTGTAGTCAATCAGCCCTTCATTTCAAAATCACACTTTTCTTTTAAAATAACACCATAGTTATCTACTTCCCAATTGCTCAAAAACACTTTTTGAATCTGCAATCACCTTCTGTTCTGTTGGCCATACAATATTGCAATAGGTTTTGCAGAAATAAAAAATGCTCACCTCTCCTAATGCAAAAGCAAATTATAATAAATTGCTTCCACCCACCTCTTCTCTCCTACTTTATATGTGTATTTGTCTGCTTCCTCCCTGCAGAGTAGCCCCAACGGAGTAGAACTGAAAAGCTGTCAAGTCTCCTAAGCCTTAAAAGGACGGCTAAACCCAGGTAGTTGGAGATGGAGTAAAACAAGAGATTCTACAAAGGGAGACTAGCTGTAAGGTTTACAGAGTTGCAGTGTTTGAAACAAAAGGTGACTTTTTCCTAAGCTATAAATAAATAAGCATAGTCTTCAGACTTAGCTGACATGTCTTCAAAATAGCACAATCTCCTTGGGGTAGAAACGCCCTATCTTTGTTGAGAAGCACTCAGTTCTAAATGGCCCAGAGTGTTCAAAACAGACGCCGGCCATCAGAACTGGGAAAGCATTTCTGAAAAATAGTTTGTTACCCACTTAATTATTAGTGCTTGAAACATCTGTTCAGTAACATGTAAAATGAAAATATTTTTTTAAAAAATGTAAAGCAAGTATCTTAGCAAAAGTAAGGCAGGGCTTAAATCAATATTTTTCAAGCTTTACAACATTAAGATATGTGGAATTCAATTCCCAGAATTTCTCAGCCAACATACGGCTGGGGAATTCTGGAAGTTGAAGTCCACACATATTAAAGTTACCAAATTTGAAAAACACTGGCTTGAATACAATAGGCATACAAACATTTTGTTTCTTGAAGGAGGCATGAAACAGAGATCTCTTTTCCCCAAGTCAAGGTATTCAACAACAGTCCTACTATGTCATACTATGCTTCTTTTCCTTTCCTGTCTTATAAAAATTGGATGGACAGCTTTAAATAATTTTAGATCAGAATTCCAATATAAAAGAAATTATGGTATAGACCTTCTATTGGCGATGACTCCATATCTATATCATGTCTATTTCTGATATTGTCTGCTTCCTGGAAAAAGCTGAAAACAGAGGTCTTATTTTAAATTTTACTCTATATTCTTATTTTGTAAGCCACCAAGAATCCTGAGATTGTGGCAGGATATAGGTTTGATTACTAAAAGATCATAAATAAATAAAATAAGATGATAAACATCATTTTATAATAATAGATTTTACAAGTAAAACTGTGAAATCAATCATAATATATCTATTAATATAGCAGTCTTAAATTGAATCAAACCATAATAACTAAGATAGTCCTTAGTTCACACCCATTCATTTAGTGACCATTCAAAGTTACAACAGCACTGAAAAAGTGACTTGCTGTCCTCCAACTTACAACTGTTACCCAAGGTTGCATGATCCAAATTTGAGGGCTTGGCAATTGGCATTTATTTATGATGGTTGCAGCATCCAGAGTCATGTGATCTCATTTGTGACTTTTCCAACTGGTTTCTGCCAAGCAAAGTCAATGGGGGAAGCCATATTTGCTTAAAGACCATGTGATTCAATTAATAACTGCAGTGATTCATTTAACATCACAGTCATAAGTTGAAGACTACCTGTACTTTAAATGAATCAAAGACTTGTTTAATGTAAAGAAAAATACTTATCATTTTTACATAGTTTGGATTTGATCATACAGTCTTATCAACTTACTACTGGAAAGCCATTAATAGGATTTTTTCTTCTTCTCACCAAGATGAAATGAAAATTTTAGCCTGCATCTCTCAGAGAAATCATATCAATGACAACAGATAGGCCGTGTCATTGTGGTGGAGCTGAGTGAGTGAGTGACTTCAGCATGTGTGGGATCTGGAATCTATCTCAATAGGAATAGCTTCTTCAGCAGAGTGACAACTATAATTAGCATAGAAACGTCTGACAAAATAAAGACAGAGTGAAATCCAGAGATGAAAAATAGATTATCTGCTGTCAGAGAAAACAACAGACAAGAACCAAAATTATTCTAGGTGACAAGGCGTATATGGCAGGAAGGAAGCTGAAGAATAAAAATGTGATGGGGAAACAATGAAAGTCCCAAGGTACAAAAGGAGAGAAGAATCAGATTAGAGATAGTAACCATATCAAAGTTGGATAAAAAGCATCTACAAAGTTTACTGGAGGGAGGAAAACTTATTAGGTAGTGATATAAGATTCTCATCCAGGGGGAAAAAAACACTGTTTGGTGGATGCAGAAAGTAAGAGAGTTGGGCATTTAGGTCTCTGGGGAAGATGAGGAGACTCTCCAAGGTCAACAATGTGTTTCATGAGGTTAGGAAGCCGGTGTGCACATGATTGAACAACAGCCCTACTATGTTGAGTACTGGAGGTTGAAAATCCCACACACCCTTCTTTTCCTTTTTGGCAGTAAAAACATTGTAGCAGTAAATTAAGTAACAGTTTGCTGTTTCCTTATCATGACAAATAAAAATAGTTAACTCTGGAGACTAATTCAATCAAAATGTATTAATGAAAATATTTTCTCTTCCTTTTAGGACTGCCAGAAAAGGCACTGGGTGCAGGAATGATTAATTACTGTTTGTGGAGCTGCAGTTTTGAGATACTGCTAAATTCTTGGTTTTCTTTCCCACTAAATAGCTGCATCTCAGAGGAATTAAAAATGCTGTAGTTCCTTCATAGACACAGTGATGTAATCCTATTAATACATCTTCATAAGATTATCAATATAAAGCAGGGGTGTCAAACTCACAACGTCACGTGACGTGTCGCGACTTTTTTCCATTGCCAGCAATGGGGTGGGCGCGGTTTCAGTTTGATACCCCAATATAAAGTATCTATTGATAAAATGTGAATTTTCTAGACCTTTCCAAAATGGATTTTACCTTAGCAAAAAGTCCACACTTTCAATGAGAACTTCCCAAATGCAACCTAACATAGGTTAATCAAATTTATCATTTTAGGATTTTCTTCAGTAGAAACATGTTTCATACAATGACATGCAAACAGGTGACTTTTGTTTTCATTTTATTTAAACTGTGTTAGATACTTCCAAGGCTCTCTTTCACAGAAAAGACAATGCTTTCTTCTTTTAGAATGTACTCAGGTTAAGTCAAATAACATCTTCCTATGCTTTCTTCCTATTCTGGATTTTTTTATCTCATGGCTTTCTAAAACTGACATTTTGGTTTGGATCTTCCTCAAGCTTTTTATCTCCACGGAGTCCATACACAGAAAGAATTAGGATCTCTGACTGCTATAATATATCATGCCAGATCTTCCAAATTTCTTTGTGCCCACCTTTTCTCCTCCTCTTTCTCCTCCTCCCTATTGTTAGCACCCTTTCAGTACCCCTTACTTCTTTAATCTCCACAGTTCTTCTTATTAGAAAAAAGGAAGGGTGAATTGTGATGATATAACTCAGTGTAACCAGACACTTGTCTAACAATACATTCAGTATTAGGGAAAGATGATATGCCTGTATTAGTCTTTGTCTAGATTAGTGTTTTGTAGGAATGCACAGCCACAAAATCCCAGCTGCATAATTTATTGTAAATATAATGATATTTTTAGTTTTTAAGGTACCACAAACCTTAAAACTTTAAATCTTTTTCAATTGCTGCTACAAAAATGAACATGATTCATCTATGGGACATAAGAACAAGGCAACTATTCCAGGCTTTCATAACAATGTCCTATGGATAAAGCAGCAAAGTCTTAATGCTAGATTTCGTGGTCAACAAAAGCTGAACATTAAGGCTTAATCAGTGCAATTCTGTAATCCAAATGAGCACAGTTATATTAATCTTTGAAAGGTTGTGGACCACACAACTATAGCAGAAATTTCAGTCAGTTTTGTGCTAACTTCTATTTTTAAGATAATACTATTATATTCTCCAAACCTAATGATGTTTAAGGATCTTAATCTCTCTTTCCATTCAGTCCCTTATGATTCTGGTCATGTCCATCCACAGTTCATTTCAAGCACTGAATTCATATTTTTGTGGTTTTATTTGAAACTGGAGAAACTGGAACTTTTTTTTGTAACACTGAGGTTTGTGAAATCTATTTTTCAATTAGTTTACTCTTGTTTTACTTGGCTTATCTTACATGCTGAGCAAAGTGTGTTCTTGCTTAGCATGTTCTGTGACCTAAGAGCAACCCAATTTCAATCCTTTGAATCAGTTTTACTTCCAGTCATGTACTCTGTGGTTCTCCAGCTGATGGTTGGGTCAGTTGTAGCCACTAACTGCAAGAAACCCCACCCCCTTGTTTTACAACAATGAGTCCTGTTCTGGAGCCTAATTGACAGGGCAGAAAATCATTCACTAAACGGCAGCAAATGCATGAAAAAATATTTTTGAAACTATCTCATTATATTAGAGAAGCATTCATTTTCAAATAAAAAGTAATCATACCACATCACTTAAATATTATCTTTGTAAATTTATCTTTCCTTCAGGCGACAACTTCCTTGTTGCCTGCCTGAAGGACAATAATCAGAATGACAAAGTTCAGAGGCCTTTCTGGGAATAATGTTGAACACAGGCATCATTGCAAGCAATAAAAAAGGTGGCAACCACAACCACATGATTGGAATCTTGTCTCTCTTTACATGTGTTATGAGAAAAGAACATTAAAAAGGGTCGGGACTTCAATTATGTAGTTTGGACTGCCAATGTGCCTTTTTTTAAACCTCCTGCCCTGGAAACCTCTAAATTGAGCTCTGTGGCAGCTCCAAAATTCATACTTTAAAGAATAGGGTTTTAAAGCAAATACATTAGGAACTATAATGAAACTAATTAGAAAAGGGTGGACATTTCTACCTTGGTAAAAGTCAAACAGTCTTTGTCTTGATCTTTGTCCTTTATTTCAAAGTCATAAAGTGCTTTGCCTTGTGGAGGAGCGGGTGGAAGAGGCTTGATACACTGGATGTAGCTTGCTGGGAAAAAGCCATGATTTCCATTCAGTTCCCCATGATACCAATTCTCATCTACTTTTCGGCGCAATATAATAAGGTCCCCTTTGTTAAATTTGAGGTCACCAGGTTCTTTCCCTTCGTAGGCATAAAGAGCTTTTCCATAGGGAAGCTGAGTGGGGTTCTGCAACAAAAAAAGGAAAAATACTATGTACTATTATGCAATTAATTATAATATACATTATTATTACCGTTTGTTGCATGTTGCCGTTTTAAGTAAAGTTCAAAAGGCAGTTTCTAAAAATAATGTGTTTAAAAATGTTTAGAACAAAATTAACAAAGGCTTTTGAAATAACTAGAGACAAAACAGGAATAAGCTTAAAGAAAATAGCATTTTTGCCTACCTAATATTAGGCAGCAGTGGTGCAAAATGTGGTTCTTGGAAGACTATTTCAAACCCAGCCTTTATTTCCCCTCCCTCCTTCCCAAATTATTTTGTGAAACCATTTCTCATCTTAGAATTCACTACAAAATGGTTTAGTATGAGGCAACTACAAATCAAACTCTTATTTCCTACACTTGGGACAAAAAGAATCTCACACTATTTGCTTATCAGGATACCTATGTAAGAATGTGCCCAACAGCTGTTTTACAAATTGAGACTGTTAATAAGGTAATTATCACTCTATCCACTATATTTTATTTTTCTCTTACTACAGAGTTTTAAAATCTTCTTCTCTTTCAGTGAGTGAATTTATACTCCTGTTTGAAGAATATCAATTGGAATGTATTTATATTTATCTATAAAATGCATGTACCTTTGTATTTACAGGGATCCACACAATGATATATAAAAAGGTTCATTTATTTAAAATTTTGAATAGTACAATGAATAGAAAACAACTTTCGTACTGCATACAAATTCAATTCTATTTTTATGAAGTATCAATCATGATTGAATATCTTTAAGTATCTATATTTCAGCATCGGAATACACAAAATGAATACTATTTATTGCACAATCAATCAAGTACCATTTTCTGTGGATACAGAAATTTTCTCTTTTTCAAGCTAGTCTCTGATAGTTTTCTTTTCTTCCATTGCAAATTAATTGGCCAGTGAATCTCTAAATTAGACAGAATTCCTCTCCACTTTTCCTCTAGTTACTCTAATTAAAGAGACTCTTAGAGAATGTGGTTTCACATTAAAGTAATTTCTCTACAACCCCCCCCCCCAGTAATTGATTAGTCTTACTGATTTCCTCTCAGCTTTCTCCTATCAATAAATGAAAGGAAAAATGTCCATCTATTATGAAAATAGGTTTGTAATATAAATGAAGAAGCCATGGAAGTCTCAGCATTTCTTGTATGTCCACATTGCAGAATATGTCTTTATTTGAATCAATCAATTCTGATAAGACAAAGTGGACGATTACGTGTA